TACCTAAGTTAAAGTTAGTTTCTTAGCTGAGCTAAGTTGGTTGATAGTACGCGCAATTCATATCTCGTTGTTTTGTATATGTGATCTGTTCCATCGACTGGTATATTTAAACTTATCATTTCCTCGTCGTTAAATTTAAAACTGACTTTGAAAGTTTCATATTCCATTTTGTGCAATAGCAATAATGAATAATTAATTAATTTCATTAAACTAAACACCTTTTCAAAGTTCCTGTTCCAAGGACCAACTTTTAACAAAACAAAAATAAAGAAATATAACCTCAATTTAGAAATTATTGAACGTCAAAAATTCAAAAAATGCGTACTTCGCGCCAACTTAGGTCAGCTAAGTTATCTCAGTTAAATATCCGGGTGTCTTAGCAGGGGTAAGGGGGAGGGCAGATTCTAACTTAGTTGTGACAAATCGTACGCGCAACTTAGTTAGATTCTTCAAGTTAGGTAAGAGAAGTGCTTGATCGTAAGCAGCTAATGTTAATATATAGCTATACCTAACTCAGAATTAATCAAATCAAATCAAATCAAATCAAATCAAATCAAATCAAATCAAATCAAATCAAATCAAATCAAATCAAATCAAATCAAATCAAATCAAATCAAATCAAATCAAATCAAATCAAATCAAATCAAATCAAATCAAATCAAATCAAATCAAATCAAATCAAATCAAATCAAATCAAATCAAATCAAATCAAATCAAATCAAATCAAATCAAATCAAATCAAATCAAATCAAATCAAATCAAATCAAATCAAATCAAATCAAATCAAATCAAATCAAATCAAATCAAATCAAATCAAATCAAATCAAATCAAATCAAATCAAATCAAATCAAATCAAATCAAATCAAATCAAATCAAATCAAATCAAATCAAATCAAATCAAATCAAATCAAATCAAATCAAATCAAATCAAATCAAATCAAATCAAATCAAATCAAATCAAATCAAATCAAATCAAATCAAATCAAATCAAATCAAATCAAATCAAATCAAATCAAATCAAATCAAATCAAATCAAATCAAATCAAATCAAATCAAATCAAATCAAATCAAATCAAATCAAATCAAATCAAATCAAATCAAATCAAATCAAATCAAATCAAATCAAATCAAATCAAATTATGCTTTATTGTCTCAACTAAATTGTTATTGACAAAGCAGCCTTATTAACTAACATCAGTACTTATACTATGTAGGGTTGGGTAAATTTCACTTTTCACTTCATCTGGAAATTTTACTCTGAAATTTTCATGGAACTATTGAAATTTTTGAAATTTCCATGAAATTTTCAAAATTTCTGAATTTTTCAGAAAATTTCCAAAAAATCATGAAATTTTCAAAATCGAATGATTCACTATGAAATTTTCAGTGAAACTTCACGAAATTCGATGAAATTTTCAACACAATTCAATTATTGTGATGTGACATGACTGTGACTTTGCGTATTAGTTTAGTATTATCTTTATGAGGTGGTGTGGTGGTAGGGTAGGTACAAAAATAAATAAGCCTACAATGGTTGGACATTCTTCAGACATTTTATTCTGGCTCAAGTGTCGAATGAAAACACTAAACAATAGCTATTTTCCTAACAAGTGCGGGAGGAAAATTTTCCGGCACGAGTGTCCGAAGCGTCCAAGTGCCGGAAATTTCTTCCCGCAAGCTTTAGGAACTATATTTTTTCTACAAGCCAAAGGTGATGTAACAAAAAATGTAATTTAAATAAAATGCGACTGTGCAGTAGGTAAATTTATAAATGTATTGAAAGATCATTGATTGAACAGTATTTATAAAAAAAGGTAAAAGTGAGGGAAGAAAGTCTGTTCGCACAGCAAATAGTGCAGAAAGAGCCATTTCCCGCACGCTCGTAGAAATAAAACTTTCCACCTTTCCGTTATTTATTTCGTAGTCAGTTGAGTGAAGTAGCTCCAAATATTGTTTTTTGATTTAACTGTATTTATCATAAGGTAAGGGGTTCCGACATGAAATTCACCTGCCTCGGAAACTTGTTTTGTCGTGTTAAATTGAATCGTGGCAAATGAATTCCAACCTCAGCTAAGGATTAAAATTCAAAGATTCCGACAATCCAAAGCAAGACAACCCGCCAATACATTATACAGCCAGTGAGCAGCGTTGCTAGTTACGGCGTTGTCATTATTGCCGATAACTCCTGGTATTTCCCGGTGAAACATGTACACTTTTTGAAAATTTCGATGAAATTTATGAAATTTCCAGTGAAACATATGAAATTTTCTACAAAGTTTTGGGAAATTTCAAATTGAAAATTTCACCTGTAATTTCTGTGAAATTTCACTTTTTCCGAATATTGAAAATTTCCAATTTGAATATTTCAAACATGGAAATTTCATTTGAAAATTTCAACCGGCACAACCCTAATACTATGTCAAGGTGGCTACAGACGGTGTGCCAACGTCAGCCAACGTTGGGACCAACGTTGAGGCCAACAATCGGATATTCGTCATCATTCGCAAATTGAAAGCATTCACACGACGTGCCAGCGTTGGCGAATGTTGGTTATGTGTGAAAAATAGCGAACTTGTACCAGCATTGGTTCAATGCCGGTACAAGATGGATTCCGATGAGCTGGAAGTTGTGATTGCGGCTGCATCAACGTTGCTATTATCCACAAGTGCACTGCTAGACATCATAAAAACCCAAAAGTTAACTAGTCCCACAACTATGGTCCTACTTTCGCAAAAACATACAAACAAATGTGCACGCTCGTGTGTATGGAGAAAATGGCATTGGCCAATATATGCCAGTCGAGACCTGATCCCTTTGATGTGTGCCCGAAATACCGCCTCCGAGGCGAACGTTGGCCAGCGCCAACGTTGGACGGAGTTCGTAGCACGTTTTCTATACACACGATCCGATAATGTTCACAAATGCGGAAGTTGGCGTATGTTTGCCATGTCGTCTGTAGGCCGCTTCATAATCATAACATGAGAAAAAATCTTTTAAATGCCTTAAGTACTACATTACAACAATACTGTTCCTATCACAATCTACCATTATTATTGCCTTAAAAACTAAAAATCAGTCGTTTTCAGTCGTCTTTAAAAAATAAAACAAAAATAAAAAAAGTAAAAAATAGACAACGGACTCAGGAGTTCGAACAATAAAACAAATTAACAACTATGACGCACACTACAAAAAGAACAATCCAGAAAAAAAAAAAATCTAAAACCTGTCCTCCAGAAATTCGTCAATTTCGTAATATGTCTTTTGGGCAAGCAGCACCTTGACGCCTCTACGAAACTGTTGTTCAGTCTTTATTTGTTTAAGACCTGACGGCAAATGATTGAACAACTTGCGACTTCTGAAAATGATAGAGTCTCTTACCTAGCTGGACGTGGGTATAGGAAGGCTAACATCATTTTTCTGTCGAGTATTATGGGTTGTATGCGATATGAATATAAATAAATAAATAAATAAATAAACAGTCTTTGTTTCCAACAGGTACTTAAACCCACTTACAGGAAATTCTATAAATATAAATAATAAATAAATTGGTAGTAAATAACATAAACAGTAATTACCTACAAATTGAAGTCAATTTTAAGAAAAAATAAAAATAAAATAAAATAATAAAAAAGAATGAGAAAAAAAAGTGATAATGCAATAATGGCAAAATACTAATTACAATTATAATAAATTAAAATACTAATTATAACAATAGCAATATCAGTAAAAGCGTCATTGGGAATACTAACAATACGGCCACAATAATATAAGCAGCGGCACCATTAGCAATAATAACATCAACAGAAGCAAAAAATCAATCACTCTACACGTAAGAGAGACTCAATAATACTATTCAGCGTGTCAGCATGTATATCACATTGATGAGACAGTAAATTGAAGACTGTACACATGAAATATATCGGACACTGCATAAGGATATTGGATCTTGCTGAGCTGAGATAGAAAGCTGAAGCATGCCGAGACTCAGGGCGAGGAACACGGAATGGCAACTCCCCAAGAAGAAACGGGCAATCGGTTGTATTATGAGTGAGACCATACAATAACTTGAGGCTCTGAATTTTTGAATTTCTGAATAGACTGCTTTTGTGTTTCCTGTGAATTAAGCAGACCGATTCCAACACAAATAATGCAGGGAGAGTCAAAATATTTTTAGAAATGAATAGCAGCCTGCAAGAATCCGTGGGTTGGCTCCATATAAATATCTAATTGCTCTCTTCTGCAGCAAAAAAATGCCATTAAATAACTGCTTAGAGCAAGTACCCCAGAAACACAGCCCATGCCTCAAATGAGACTCTATCAGAGCAAAATAAGTATTTCTGGTAATACATGGTTCCAGTTCCCTAGAAATAACTCTAAGTGCAAAACAATTAGATGCCAACCTATTCCTCAAACACTTCAAGTGTGCTTCAAATTTCAGACCATTATCTATCCAGAGACCCAAAAATTTATTTTCCACAGATGGAGATAATAAACTGTCATTCAGACAGATGTCAGTAAAGTTACATCTAAAATTCATTACATTTGTTAATATTCCTGATATGTGTAAACTTCTTTCCTAGCCCCTGTTACCAGTATCAATACTGTTTTGGGGTCATAAATAAATAAATAAATAAATAAATAAAAAACAAAAAATAATATGAGGATCAATTGTCTCATCACGTTGAAATAAAAAGAAATTTCAGGCCAATTCGCATAATTTTCTTTATAGTATGAAATGAGAAATACTAAAAGTGAAACGTGATACTTAGTGAAATACGCATGGATAGATTTTGTATAAAATCACGAATATCTCGCAAATACTATAGCGAGTACTAAAGTGAAAATTCGAGTTCCAAATTTTAAGGATGTAAGAAAATGTTTTAGAAGCAAATGTAGGGGGCTTTCTTTCATGCACTATTCTTTTGAGCCTGCATAAAGGAAAAAAACCTGAGAAATACGAAAAAGCACAAATAGTAAAAAAAATAGTAATATTGCTTACCCTATGATAAGCCGGTACAAAAACTCTCGGCTTTTAATCAAGTTGTTGGTATCGGGATCGTCTTCTGTTTGAAGATAATTATTGGAAACAGCGGAATTGGGCATTTTGCTTGACAAAAAATCAGTGAAATCCGATAAATATTTGAAAACCAAAAAAATTTGGGAAGACACAACACACAACAATAACAAATGAACTAATCTAATGAACCACCACCACCACCAACCACAAACAAAACAAAACAGGGAGAAAAGTGAGGTTAGTTTCTTACTTTCTTCTTCCGATTATCCTTGCGTTCGGTATTTTGCTCGAAGAGCAGGAGCGTGCTGAGCGGAGCAGTTGAACGCTGTATCCCAGTGCCCGAAATTTTAATAAACCAACGCAAATTTGCTGCACCGAGTACACTTTTTGAATAAACAAACGGTAAATTCATGCTCGGAGAACTCAGATGAAAATACCGAACGCGCGGTAAATACAAGGGCGAGTTCAGGAATGACACACTCGGGGTGAGTGTGACACCGGTGCGACGCACTAGCCGTTCATAAATGCTATTGACACTCCGAGTGCGCGCATTCTATTCCGTTAAGAAAGTACTTCGGGCGCGCTCCAGAGCCGCTTTCCAGTATGCACATTGGCGCGCTCTGGCGCGCCCCAGAGCACCTCGGGGGCGCCACGCACTAGATTTGTACCGTTCCAGTATCATGGCGTGAGACGCCTGTTTTAGTGTCAAATATGTCAAATTTTAAAAATAATTATCTGTTTGTTTGTGCAGTTTGTTTTTTTATTTATCAAAAATGAAAGAGAATCAAAACTATATTTTTTAAAATTTTCAATCTTGAGATATAACAAGAAATAAATAGATAAATAGCCACCCACGGATGTGACAGCTGATAGGTTGACGCGTACGTACAGCTCGGGGGCTCAACGCCCCGAGTAGCTCCGGGCGTCACACTCCCATACTGGAAAGCGGCTCAGGTGTCGCACCGGTCACACCATAATTTTTTGGGTGTGGCTGCAGTGTGCTTTTGTAATAATGTCAACGTCAACCATTCCTCCCATAATCCCATTAGCTCTTTTCACGTGGCTCCGGTTTAACTAACCGGGTTACAAAACGGTTAGAGAAATGACATACCGTTTTCTAAAGGGCCCCATACACTACGATGAAACACGACGGTTTTCACCGCCACGATGAAACACGCCGTTCTAAAACCGAAGTGTGTGGTAGAAAACCGTTCGTGTGTACGAAATGTTGAACCGTCGTGCCAAAAATCAAGCTGGGACTGAATTTTAAACCGACGATGAAACACGACGGTTTTCTACCACACACTTCGGTTTTGGAACGACGTGTTTCATCGTGGCGATGAAAACCGTCGTGTTTTATCGTAGTCTGTGGGGCCCTGTAGAAAACCGTCGTGTTTTTCTATTACACACTTCGGTTTTAGAACGACGTGTTTCATCGTAGTGTATGAGGCCCTTAACCCGGTTACAAAGTGACATGATGGATACCTACCACTCGAATTTGAGCGGTATGTTGCGGTTTGTTAAACCGGAGCCACGTGAAAAGGGTTATTGATCCCACCAAATATAAACCGAACACAAATAAGAATTAAAGTTTTTTCTTCAAATTAAAAAAATGAACAACAAAAAAAAGTAATCCGGGCCCCATACACTACGATGAAACACGACGGTTTTCACTACCACCATGAAACACGTCGTTCTAAAACCGAAGTGTGTAATAGAAAAACACGACGGTTTTCTACAGGGCCCCATACACTACGATGAAACACGACGGTTTTCACCGCCACGATGAAACACGTCGTTCCAAAACCGAAGTGTGTGGTAGAAAACCGTTCGTGTGTACGAAATATTGAACCGTCGTGCCAAAAATCAAGCTCGGACTGAATTTTAAACCGACGATGTGACATGGCTCAATGCCCCTACCCCACCAGATCACCATCTGTGACGTAGACAGCATGTCGTTTCTCGCCTTGACCTAGGCTGTTTGAACCACAGGAATCAACGCTTTTACTATGCATACTTGGTTTTACTACATTAATTAACATTTAAAACAACTATTTTTCAGATCTCGTTTGCATCTTCCTATTTGCCTATTATGTTAATCAAAATTAAATAATATTTTTCATCATAGATTTAAATTCTAAACTACGACTGCTGGCGCGAACAGCTGACGTCGCTGACGACTTAGTTGATGACGTCGGCAATGGTGATACACCAATATGGCGGCCATTACCAAAAATGAGGCAATCCTTAGTGGTGATTATTACCCTTTGGGCCGAATTCGCCAAATTCTTAACTGTCAAATGTTAAATGCTGTCGAATAACCAGCACGTTGCGGTTTGCTGAGAATAGAGATGAGGGAATGAGGGGCAAAATCGAATTACCTATTTCACGCTTTTTGAAATATCAGAGAATACGGGACATTAACGCGTCCCGACAACAAATTTGGGGACGCGGGACATGGACCTTGGAATAAGGGACTGTACCGTATAATACGGGACGTATGGCAGGCTTATATTACACACTTCCGTTTTAGTACGACGTGTTTCATCGTGACGGTGAAAACTGTCGTGTTTCATCGTAGTGTATGGGGCCCTTTACACACTTCGGTTTTAGAACGACGAACGACGTGTTTCATCGTGGCGATGAAAACTGTCGTGTTTCATCGTAGTGTATGGGGCCCTTAATACATTTGCTGAATTTTTTTGGGGAGATACTCGATTGGTCACACACACTAAGCGTTCAGAAATTCATACGAAAGTTGTCGCCTAAGAATTGTCATTTCAAGCACACCCATAAAATCGCACTCACACCCGGTGTGTTATTTCTGAACTCGCCCCAAAGGATTAGACGTTGGACCAAGAATCGTAAACTTTACAGGATTGCTCAATCCCATAAGACAAACGTTCATAAAAACATCGAAGATGGCGGTATGCGAATGACGTCACGCAGTCCTTGATCGGTTTGTGTTTTTTTTGACAGTGCACTATCCTTGCATTTGTTGTTGTTGTTGTTTGTTTTAATGGCACTGCTACTGAGGCAATTTGCCAGCACAATTTCGTGGCGACCCTGATATTGTCTGGCTCTAGGCCATATCATAGGTCCCCTATTTGTTTCACTCTTTTCTTCTATCTTCAATTTTTCTTAATATGAAAGGCACATCCAGGATTTGCCTTGATCAATCGCTGACACCGGATATAACCTTTTTCTGTCAAAACAAACAGCGTTTTCACGAGTCTCAGACTCTGGCCGCCATTTTGCCAACGTAACCACGCGTGTAAACCTTCTGTTTATCTAGGAATCTAAGCCGGCTTAGTCAAAAAGACGCAAACAAATCCACGGATGGCGATGAATCTCGGTTTTTACTCGCGGAGGTGAGCCAAAATTTGGTCTCTACACGCCTCTAGTGCACCACCCGGTGAAGCTCTTTGAGCTCCTTAAACCAACCGCCCACACTCTGGCGAGGACAAAACGAGACTGATCCTTGCATTTTCAAACGTGAAAAATTGTTATTTTATTTCCTTTGAAAACTGTATTTTGTAATTAATTTATTGATTTTAAAATTAGCAGACTTCAAAAGCTTGTGTCCTTGAGGCTTGAGTGGTTGGCTAATTGCTAATTAGAAAGACGAGTTTGTTTGCTTTTGTTTATCAATTAGCCAAACATATTGCCAAAAAGTCAAAAAAACGAAGGGCTGGAGTCAAGCTGGCCCCCGGATTCGTTTCAATGTTTTTTTTGTGTATGAAAATGAGCACAATTCGCATAAATACTGGCACAATTGAGCACAAAACGGGCACAATTGACTACAGTTGAGAAACAGTAGAAAACCAAATGTGGGGTGCCGAGCCGGTTTAATTTTTGCATTTCAATATCAAAATATAAGCGAAACGGGGTTGCAATAGTGTGCTTTATTTTTTACTGACCCTACCTAGGTACTTCTCAATTATTATTCATTAATTTAATAGGTACTAGAACGATTTAATATGGACATTCAAAGTGAGCTTATTTCACAAAGCCAAATAGTGATACCTAATTTAGATTCTCATAATCATATTCCAGAAAAAAATTGCAAGTTTCCCATATTTTCCATGCGTTTTCATAGTAAACGCGCCAAAAGGAATTTATTTACATATTTATTTATTCACTCTTCACAAACCCTAATTTTTATTAGTAAACAACTAAGTAGATATTTGATTTATAAAAAAAAAGCAAAACAAATGCTTGACTAGGAAATACTAACTAGCAATACACACAAATAAAAGAGCGATGTCCTGATACAACAAATCCAGTATTATAAAACCAGAAAATGCTTGGGGTTTTCGCGAGTATTTTCATCCACGAGTCTTTTATGCTTACACACATTAAATGAAACTTTAAATTTACACTTATAACACTAGATAAATCCGAATTTACGTTAAAATAGTTGTCAGCACAAACTAAACATCATTCGTATCAGCGGCCATCTTGAAAATCCGGCATGCGCGTGACGTCACAGCAATTGTGAACAAATTTAGCCGATTGAGCAATCCTGTAGAGTTTACGATTCTTGACGTTGGACAATTGTACTAGCCGCCATCTCAAGGATATTACAAAAACCGCGTGACGTCACTACAGATGATTAGAATTTTCTCTCTTTCTTCTCTCATTTTTTGGTTGGGAGAAAGTTTTTTATCCTATTCTAAACTACGACTATCCTACCCGTCATCCCGCGAGGCATAAAGGAGACTCAAAGGAGAGGAGAATGTTGTGGCTGACTGGTTAGTCTGATGACGCAATAGCTCCCACCACTATGCATGTAGCCTAGCCTTTTAGTTTATTGACACTTGACCTCCTGTTACCCAGCCAGTGTTTACCTCTTTTTTTTTTTGTTTTTATTTACAAGCCTACAAATTCACTTGTTTTTCTTTAAAAATAAAATAAGCTTAGTAGAATGTAAGTATCTTGTTAAAGTATATTAATGCTGGTGTTTATCAGTATCATTCCTAGCAATTTCCCGAGCAATTTCCTTCAGATTTTAAAATTTAAAATATTTTAGAGTACAAGATGATGATGTGTTAAAAAGGTCACAAGAATATGTATAAGACCCCCGGTTTAGTGCCTTCAAGATTTTTGATTTTAATTGCTCATTTTTCCATTTGTGTTAATTTATTATGGACCAGCCGAGAGAGTCCGAAGTTTTATTCAATGGCCAATCTGCCCGAATCAGGCCCCAGCAGTCCCCATCACCCTACAGAGTAAGATATTAACATTTTATTTTATTATACCTTAAAACCTATGACTAGCAAGTACTGTATTTGAGGTTACATTTCAATTTGTGTGAACAAACATTTGTTAATTACTTCCTTGTTAAGGTATACATACCCATATGTGGTATATTCGAGGGTATAACCAACAGGATGCCTTACGATTGTCATAAAGTATTTATTATACCTCAATTTTCACTGAGAACATGAAGCCTTTGTAGAGACTTGCACATTTCAATTTTCATACACCTGAGCATACACCTATGAATGTGAAAATGTAAAGTATATTCATTCATCAAAAGCTATTCTTCATTTAACTTAAGATAGGCTATTCGAAAATTGGCCAATTATGGCTTTGCCTTCAACACAGTTGAACAAAGAAGTATTCACATTAGTTCCAAGTTATAATTGTTAATAGCAACCGAAACTAAATTGCTCAACTATTTTGAAGGGTCCTAATCTGATTGGAACCAGAACATAAAGCATGTATCCTCTTTGTTTAACAAAAAACCAAAATATAACAGCAGTACACATTAGGTAAGTATCTGTTTTTCAGAATCTTTGTTCTTGGCAGATGACAAAACAATGATTTGTTTTTGTTTTCGCTGTGTCTAGCTTCCCGGCACCGGTATTCATACGAATCCCGGCTATGGCGCGTTTTAAATGACGTCATCAAGAACAACCAGTAACTGTCGTGGATCCCGTCTAGTGCTATACAAGATGTTAATAATATAATAATAATAATAATAATAATAATATGTTTATTTACGGAACCAGCCATTTACAAATATAAATTTTACAAATATAATGTAACAATATAAATTAAAACTAATTTAGCTAAAAATGATAATAACAAATAAATAAACAAATAACTTAGGGCATACTAACATCACAGTAAAACAGTCTGTTTTTCATTGCAGTTTTTAGTTGAGGTAGACTAGAATTAAACATATTAACATCTGAACAATGAACATTACACAATTCACATGATCTATTTACAAACGATGATCTGCCATAGTTCGTTCTATGCTGCATCTCTAAAGGTACATTTATCAGAATCATACATAATTAATTATGTTCATTGGTATTGGGGCAGATTTATTATGAAGAGTAAAAAAAGTAAACAAAGATGAGCTTTTATTAATGGAAAATAAAATTATGACTTTTTATTATAATATGTAGGTACAGGGTCATTTTGAAAGTTTGTTCAGCATTTGATCTTGTACAGCAACGCCGTTATGTTCACAGACATTACACAGGGTGCCCCAAAATTAGTGGTTAATATTTTAACTGCGGATTCTACATCTCAAATTAAGAGCAAAAATTCCAATAAACATGGGTTCAAGAGTACCCTATTTCAGAGATACAGGCTGCTGAAAAAGCTATAGTCCTGAATAATGGATGAAAATAAACCATACTATTCCCTTTTTAAACCACTACTACAAAAAGTGGATTAACGAAGTACTCACCACTCTAATACCAATATCACAACAAGAAAAAATAATACACAAAAGCTATTCCGGAATTAATCACAGCTTCAAGCAGCAAGAGAAACACGACTTTGAATTTTGAATCCAATAGGGTAGGTGGTAGACGCTTTTTACTCATTGGGCGTCGACCGGTGAGATACCACCATGCCAGAATTGAGTAGCGCTAAGTGGTATCACCACGTTCCGCTACTGCGCTGGCAGTCCGGTTCCAACAATGAGTAACAGATAGCATGATGGCGCCTCCAGGATCAAAATATTCCGGAGGTAAAATACCCGACCACTCGGATCTCCGGGCGTCAGGTGATCCTGGGGGACCTTCATGCAAAGATATAAAGAGAAGATCAAAAACTCAACTCAGAATTGATTTTAGCAATATAAGAGGAATAAGTACAAATATGAATTCAGTTCACCAACATCTTGAAGAACAAAGACCTGACATCCTTGTTCTCACTGAAACTAAAATCAGTTCTGCAACACCTATTGTGAATTATCTTTATCCCGGCTATGACCTACACCACCGATTTCGACATAATTTTGGGATCTGTGTGTACATTAAAAATGACCTTTCATGTCATCGAGAGGAGAAGCTAGAACCAGCGAACCTTGATATCATATGGCTAAAATTCACCTCAAAGTCATCGACCAAGTTTATCTGCTGCCTCTACCGACCGCCATCTAACCCCGAGTACCAAAACTTTTTCGCGACATTATCCGAAAGCTGTGATAGTATACAGTCAAACTATACACAGGCGGAAATTGTCTTTTTAGGCGATTTCAACGTCCACAATATACCCTGGCTGAAACACCACAACAAAACAGATAACGAAGGCAGAGAAGCAGAAGCTTTTGCCATAAGTTGTGGTCTAACGCAGCTTGTCGATGAACCTACCCGTATCTCAGAAAGGGGCGAATTTGCAGCGCTTTTAGACTTGTTCCTAACCACAAGTCCTGACTCGTACACAATTCAAGTAGATGCTCCACTTGGTTCGTCCGATCATAAACTTATAATAACAAAGTGCGAAATGCTCATCCCACCAAGCCAACAACCACTTCCTCGTAAAATGTGGCACTATAAATCGGCAAAATGGAATGACCTAAAACAGTTTTACCTGGATTTTCCATGGCAAGAGGTTTGCTTTAAAACAGCTGATCCCACTATTTGCTGTAATGAAATAACACAAGTAATCTTATCTGGAATGGATGCATATATCCCACATACAACTAAACGTAGAGCTAATGCAAAACCTTGGTTCAACAGCCAGTGTCAAACGGCTGTACAGAAAAAACACAGAGCACATAACCTTTGGAAACGACAACAAACCGCTCAAAACCACACAGAATTTATAGAAGCCAGAAATAATTGCAAAATTACTATTGACTCTGCTAAAGAAACATACAATCAAAGAATAAAAAACAGGTTGCTGAATTGTCCAAGTAGTTCTAGGTTCTTTTGGTCTCTTGCAAAAGCTGTTGGATCTAACTTCACCAAGTCATCCATACCACCACTTACAGATAAAAATAATCACTTAGCCACAACATCAGAGGAAAAAGCCAATATGCTGGCCCAAATGTTTTCCTCAAACTCCAACCTAACAGTGCCAAACGGAAAAACTCCACCGTTCATTGAAAGGGTTTCCCATAGTATGCCAGAGGTACCCTTTTGTCACAGAGAAATACGAAAATCCCTTCAAAAGCTAGATACAAACAAAGCAATGGGTCCGGATGGCATTCCCGCAATAGTACTCAAAAATTGCGCCAACGAACTCACCCCAACTTTCGCAAAATTATTCAATTTGTCTTACAGGCAAGGGGTATATCCATCATCATGGAAGTCTGCCGCAGTACAACCCATTCCAAAGAAAGGAAAAAAGACAGATCCGTTAAACTATAGACCAATTGCTCTACTTCCGGTGATATCAAAAGTAATGGAAAGAGTTGTGAACAATCACCTAACCAAGTACTTGGAAAAGTACAAAATTATCAACGATAAGCAATACGGATTTCGAAAATATAGGTCAACTGGCGATTTACTTACATACGTCACTCACTTATGGCAAAAAGCGATTGAGTTGCGGGGTGAAACAAGAACAATTGCCTTAGATATATCTAAAGCATTCGACAAAGTTTGGCATGAAAATCTGCTCAACAAGCTCAAAGCAATGGGATTATAAAGGACCTTGGGGTGATGATTAATAAAGAATTCACATTTGGACCTCACATAGAATACCTAAAAAATAGGTCGATTAAATTGCTTGGATTTGTCATTCGTTCACTGAAAGATTTCAATAACATATATGCATTGAAAAATGTTTACTGTGCAGTAGTCAGATCTGTCACTGAATATGCTTGTCCTGTATGGTCTCCCTATTATAAAAAATGGATCGATGAAATTGAGAGAGTCCAAAAAAAGTTTCTGCGTCATGTAGGATATCGACTAAATATTCCAAGAGATGAACTTCAATATAGTGACATATTGGCTCTCTTGGAAATATCGTCACTGGAAAAAAGAAGATTGTATTTTGATCTATGCACATTGTTCAGGGTTTTGAACGGTTTAATTGTTTCACCGGCATTATTGCAACTAATTAATTTTAAGGTACCAACAAGACAAACTCGACAAAATATAACCTTTGGTGTATCCTCCCATGTAACAAATTATGGTTTTTATTCACCTATATCTAGAATATGCAGAGAAGCAAATAGGCTTCCACCTACTGTTGATTTTTTTAACTCCTCTTTCAATAAGTTTAAGATAGACATTAAGAATTACTTAAGTTTAATGTAAATGAATGTTATTGTAAATGGTCTTTGATCGTTAATAAATTATTATTATTATTATTATTATTATTATTATTATTATCGCCGAAACTTTGCACTTGGTTTGAAAGTTACCTAAAGGACAGATCCATTTATGTTGCACTGGATGGCCAGAACTCCAACTCTTACCAAATAAATGCTGGTGTGCCACAGGGAGCAATCCTTTCGCCAACTCTTTTTCTGATTTACATAAATGACCTCATAGATAAAACAGTAAATCCACTTTATTGCTTTGCAGACGATGGCAATGTAGTCTCCTCACTCATACCACCCACAGGTCTTTCCGCACGTGAATTCTATCATCTTAGACTAACTCAAATATCGCAGATAAATAACGACCTGGAGATAATAGAGGACTGGGGTAACAGAAACCTTGTACAGTTCAACGCACAGAAAACCCAAGCAGCTCTGTTTTCAAAAAAGAACAGCACCGGTGAGCCAAACATCATGCTATCTGGAAGTGCTGTCACATTACAGAGTCAGTTGAACATCTTGGGGGTTACTGCAGAGACCAACATGTCTTGGCACAATCACGTGGCAGATATTGCTAAAAGGGCGTCCCAAAAGCTGGGGGTGCTATTTCGTACAAGACATCTGTACACACCAAGTCAATTGCTGACACTCTACAAAGCCCAGATTCGACCAACTATGGAGTACTGCTCACATATATGGAGTGCAGCACCCAAACATACCTTATTGCTTTTGAACACCGTGCAAAAACGAGCTATCAAGCTGATCAATGACCCCGCACTTACTCGTAACTTGGATGGTCTCGAACATCGCAGATCTGTGGGCGATTTATCTCTCTTCTACAGGTACTATCACGGAAAATGCTCTGAAGAGTTGGCACGTATGATTCCACCGAGAGTAGCGCCTACCAGGCGAACCCGTCAAACAGACGGTAACCATGAATTTACTGTCAAACTAGAGGCACCAAGAACCTCATTATATCAGAATTCATATCTCTGGAGAACAGCATCGCTGTGGAATAAACTCCCTGCGACGGTTTTCCCTGCAGGTTACAACCTGAACCGTTTCAAGACCAACATACACCGACATTTCCGCGCACTTGCCGCTTCTCGAGCGTGATAGGACATTTCCTTGCGAGTGCGCATATCCGTTAAAAAAAAAAAAAAAAAAAAAAAAAAAAAAAAAAAAAAAAAAAAAAAAAAAAAAAAAAAATAGCCGGGATCCATGATAAATCCCGGCGGTCGTTGATGGAGTCATCGAAAACGCGTCATAACCGGGATTCGTATGAATACCGGTGCCGGGAGGCTAGACACAGCGTTTTTTTTTTTTCGTAACTGCGAGTTATACATTTTCGCGATAACACAAAACTCTGACATTCTTGTAATGCACAAGACCCTATGTTTGCTATTGTCAATTTAAATCTGGAACTATTTTAACATTCAAATTGAACAGTAGATAGGTTTTATATTTGTTGGATTTTTTCATTTTTGAACCTCATTTTGAACCTCAAAGTCCAAAGTTGATGTCTCAGTTGGGTTGTCAGCCATTTTAGAAACCCGCCTACTCCACTTCTATGCCTCCAGTTTGTTGGGGGAGTCTAGAAATTAGAATTCTCTAGGGGTCTTTTGAGTGTGAATATTATTCGAGCACTGTTTGTCAAAATGTAAGATTTTGAGATTTATTCTGGATTTATTGGAATTTCTATAAAATTCTATTCTGTGTTCTATATAAACTGTGTGTTAGCTTAGCCTAAGTGAGCACCAGGCTTTGTTAATAAGAATTCCACATCTATATTTTCTATCTCTATATCCACATTCATCAGAATCTCGATCAGAATATCACACCCAACTTTAAGCATCTGAGCAGATTTTCTATCTTTCCCAGATCAATTTTCATTCTAAATTTATTTGCCTTATCTTATATTTGTTTTGTTTGTTTATTGAAGTTTTAACGCCAAGAATCCTCCTAAAAATTTAAATGCATGAGTGAGGGTTTGTCACTTCCAACTGCTGCATGAATCTGCGAATCATTATCAAATTGAAAGTTATTTTATCACATAAAAACCTCGATAAAAACAATAATCTGAAATATTAAATTTAAACAAAAATTATCTAATTTGTATATACAATTTCGGAACTCAACGATATTCGACGTAAATTGAAAGAGTTCCCACCGATAATAATAATTATTGTCTGTAACGAGCGAGTTATCATTTTGACTGTTAAGTTGTTGTTAAACCCACCAGCGACGTATATCGGCTAAGTATTGCAATGAAGGTACGTTGAATGTAGTATTAATTTTCATGCTTGTTACAAACCTTTGAGCCTTGCTATAAATAGGTAAACCAAATGTCATTAATGACATTCAATTTTTGTGTTGAATTAAATTGTCTTTGCTTCAATACTCAGGGAAATATAAGGAAACCCTCATTAGTCTGGATTTTGGCTACATCTGCAAATGCTGATAGTAATAATATCGTGCCTGTGATTTTTCTTTATTGTTTTTTTTTATAAATATTCATTGAAGAAAAAAAATGTATACCTACATTTAGACCTACATTGATAAAAGCTTAAAAAGGCATCTGTGTTTATTTTGGTGCAATGACCGAACTTATCAGTTCAAATATTTTTATTCTTCCAAAAACTTTCACGATAACAATTTCCAATGTGTAAGTGCTAAATAAAACTATCTGAAATAATTTGGTGAATAAGAATAGCTTTTGATTTAACTCACGAGGTTTAATTCTAGAATGGCAAATTTTGTTCTGTTGCAGTCATTCAGTAAACATTTCAATTACTGCTTATTGTCCACGTCCACAAACAATAAGGGCATCAGAAGAAACGCCATAAACTTGAAAAAAAAAAACCTTATGATAATTTAACTAATACAAGCTTTGCTGATTTTCAGATATTTCCTCTATTGCCTAATCTTTTTTTCTATGTTCTGTGGCAGAGGTGGCAGTATTATTTTCATGATTAATTTAAAAAAGAAAATTACCGCCCAAGATAAGATCAAGGGGCCTAAATTAAGAAAGCTGCTGCCAAATAGTTATTTGTATACCAACCTTTTTAGCGTACTTAGAGAAAAGTTATCGCCAAGGCCGCTTGTGGCCGAGGTAGAATAATCTCGAGTCTCGAGTCATCGAGGCGGTCATGGTATATACATTTTTTTTTTGTGCAACTATGAAAATTATTTAAAGTAACAGAAAAACTGTATAGATTCGACAAGGATTGACACATTTTGCATGTAAGGTGTGGCAGCCGCGAAAGCTCATTTCGCGGACGGTGTTTTAAATTATGTTATATTTCGCTGGTTAATCTTATCTTGGGCAGTCTTTCTTTATATTTGGTAACCCGGTAGCTAACATATTTAATATCTTAGTAGTTTTTTTTTTTACGATATACCTACCTAATATTACATTATGATGAGACCTGTTGTATATTTATTTTCAGGTTGGGGTTGAATGTGACTGTTGGACTAATATGCTTCGAATTTGTCGCTTTCATTTTTGGTTTTACCATGTTTAACACTACATCTGCGTTACTATGTATCCTTTTAACATATTTGTAATATATTTTCATGTCGTCTGTTAAATTAGTCAAAGTTATCAATGATGTAATAAAAATAGAATTTCAACACTATTACATAATTTGATCGTAATTAATCGCTACGCAAAACTTTTTAAATTTAATCTATCCTTTTTCCAGCAGTTTTAATAATTGAAAAATAAAGTTGTTTTATATTATTATTGTTGCTTATCATGATGCATGTTATCAACTTGGTACTTATTCCTTAACTAACCATTAGCTATTTTTGGACATGCGTTTGCCTGTCTAATGACTACACTCTTCATTATTGATGGATGGCAGTACGGATGGTTTTGGTGGATTTTTACTTTTGGTTCTATTCTGCCTGCACTTTTTGATATCGTTTATATCATACACATACTAATCAGAAGGAAATGGTGACTGATCTATAGAAATGATTAGGAGCCGAATAGCAAAGGCACAGATCTGTATAAGACGGTTAAACGGACATATTTTTAAAAAACGAGAATTGTAACTGAAGCAAATCTTAGAAAGAAAAAGATGTAACTTGAAATATTTATGTGTTTTTTATCAGAAAATAATTAATTTGTTCAATTCATTTAAAAAATATTCATGATAGGATTAAGTTACATATTTCCTGTCACACCTGCTGGTTTAACCAAGTGGGGTAAGTGGATGCTACAAATGTAAAAGGTTGACTTTAAGACGAGCTTTAAGATCATGTAATTTTCACAAAAAAAAAAGATACAGACTTGATTTCTGGTATGTAGTTAATATACCTATCCTGGTATTGTAGCTATTTTCAATTAGATATTAAAAAAAAAAAATGCGGTCTCTCCTACCCACTTGCCCTGGCTATTGGGGCAAGTAGGTTTCCTCTTGGTAAACTGCATATACACAGCATTGCATCTTTCTGGGGCAAGTGAGTTTGTAATATGTGGTTTAAGCTACAACATGATTTTTGAAGGGTCTTTTAAAATTAACGAATACACCTGTGGCTCAGAGAAGATCTGAAATACATTTTGTGGTCCCAGATATCGAAAGTTACTTTCTAAAATTTAAAAAAAGAGAATACCCACTTACCCTGCTTAACTATACCAAAAACATAACTACCCTGATGTTAAGTAAATACATTTTTAAAAAAGTTTTCCTCGAAACGCACTCCTAATTCTTAAAAAAAAAAAGTTACTAACAGAGTATGTTGATCTGTTTTCTACTGATTCCATAAATGACTAGATTTAACATTTGCATTAATTTTTAACTTTTTGTTCAGTACAAAATAAAGAGCACTAATAAGAATGTTTTTTTGTTTTTAATCATACATAATGGTCATTATACTTCTACTAAAGAGGCAAAGGTAAATCCTTATTTCATTCTAATCAATATTTGCAGTATAGTTAATAAAATATATTTTGTTTAAGGATATTTCTGTGGAACAACCAGGATGGAGTAAGCTCCTAGTTTTAGCTGGTATTGTAACAATTTTGGGGTCATCAACTCCCGTGGGTTTCGCTATAGGCGTTATCAATACTCCCGGAATGGTAAGCTGTACTATTATTAACAAATAATTTTTGAAATCTCGCTTCTGTCCAGGTTATAAAACAATTTTGCAACGAAAGCTCGACTTCGAGATACAATTTGCCATTAACCGAGAGCGGATTAGATCTACTATGGGCTTGCATTGTTTCTATTTTCCTTATTGGTGGAACTATAGGTTCACTAACGGGCTCTTTATTGGCTGATCGAATTGGGAGAAGAGGAGGCCTAGTCGTTTCGTCTGCATTGGGTGTTATTTCTGGCGTTATGTTTTGGACTTCCAAAAATGCCAATTCAATTGAGCTGTTGTTTATTGGAAGGTTTATTATCGGTTTATCAGCAGGTAGTTGATTTGTCAACTTTTGTATGCTAAATGTGTTAAACAGTTCACATCAGAGATATTGGGTCTAGGAATCAAGGCAAAACTCCTTTTCTTTACGCAATTATTCAGTTATTCCGATGTTTGGACCATCTATTTGGTCGTTTTCAATGGCATGAATATTCTCAAACAGAAAAGCGAGGACTTTCCAAAAAAATAGTTATAGATACTTACTATAGGAAGAAATGGTGGTATATCAGCGTGTACACGTCCAACTGTTTAAGAATTCTTCAGTAAAACCGTTGGTTTTTGTTTTGATCTCAATTTTTTTTTCTTTTGATACCGATATGTTCCAATCAGACATTTCGGAAGTAGGAAATCCGAAGAGTTTGGTGCCAGCTAACTTATCCATGAATGAACTGATATCAAACATAACCCAATATCTCTGTTCTGAATGAATAACTAAGGACGTCATCTGTGAACATGGTTACATTTAGGTCTGACAACTACAATAATGCCGATGTACTTAATGGAACTAGCCCCGCCACGACTGAAAGGGGCTATGGGGGCTTTTTGCCCTTTAGGAGTTACAGTTGGAGTTTTACTTGGTCAGATATTATCTATGTATCGTGTATTAGGTAATTATATCATTTTTGTTAATTTTCAACAGAAATTAGTAGGAGGATATATTTTGTAGGCAATGAGAATAATTGGTCACACTGCCTGGCATTTTCTGCCATCCTTCAAGCAATATGTGCCTTAATAATCCCAATGCTGCCAGAAAGTCCAAAGTACTTATTTATAATTAAGAAAAAACCTCATTTAGCTTTAAAACGTAAGTGTTTTTCGTTACGGGATGCGGGTCATAATTGTTAAAAATGTGTGTTTTTTTTTCAGAACTTAAACGAATTAGGAATGCCAAGGAAGAATTTTTAAGTGATGAAATTGAGATATTGCGTCTAGAAGAACAAGAGAATATAAGACAGGGGGATACATGGAGTATTAGAAAAGTATTAAAAAGCAGATCCCTTATGATGCCTCTTCTACTGGTGTGCGCTTTGCAGGCTGGACAACAACTCAGCGGAGTCAATGCAGTGAGTAGATTAAACAAACAGGGAGGATTGGAATTCTCATAATTTTACAAAGCTTTAAATCTAAATCAAATCAAATATTTTATTGATGCTATATGGTTAACATTACACATTAAGTCACTAATTCGAATCTCATTACAGGTATTTTATTATTCTACCGAAATCTTCAAAAGTGCAGGTTTGTCTACAAGCAGCAGTGAATGGGCTACCATCGGCGCTGGTCTTTGCAATATATTTATGGCAGTATTATCTATCCAGACAATGTCCTGGTTTAAAAGACGCACAATTTTGCAATTAAGTTTGATTTCGTCTGCCATTTTTCTTGTCTTATTGGGGCTTTCCATTGGTTTCATCGTAAGTAAGCCATATTCTTGTTTGTATCCCAACTATACTATTTCTTTTTTTTTTCTAGAAAACTTTCACCTGGATGCCTTATCTGTGCATTGTAGGTGTCTTAGGCTACGTGCTTTGCTACGGTCTCGGTCTTGGGCCGATTCCCTACTTTGTTGGTTCAGAACTATTTGAAGTTGGCCCTCGGTCGAGTGCTATGGCTTTAGGAAGCATGGCAAATTGGGCCGGAAATTTCATTATAGGCCTCACGTTCCCTACAGTGAAGGCATACATTGGTGCTGCCTCATTTTTCATTTTTGCTGGCATTGTTGTTGTCTTGTTGGTATTTATTAGGTGAGTAAAAAAAAAATTATTATGTATAAATAATCAAAGTCATAATCATTAATAATTGTTGAATATCCAACCCAACCACACTTGAGTCTAATATATTCAACTTGTAGATTACATTTAATACAGAAAAAAATGAATACTTGCATATAAAACACAGCCAAACTAGCAAAATAAATCAAGAAGCAAAAAATAATTTAAAACTTACAGCTATGGGATTCTTTGATTCCATCAATGCTTATTGAGCTGCCATACTAACTTTTTGGCAGGTATTTGATTGTTTTGGCTGAATTCAACTGCTCCTAAGTCTCATTTGACTGTTATTCCATAAACTTTAAAAACAACTTTTGTTTAAAACAATAACAGCATTACTACAAAACTTTGAATATTGATTATTTGAATTTAGCTTAACTATTCACTATAACTGATCAATTTATTGTCCAATTCAAAAACTAAGATGCATTGACATATCAAGCTGCTTATATATCATTTCAATTCTTCTGTAACTGTCTAGACAATTCTCTTCTGCTAATCTCTGATAAGCGTCGATATTCCATTGTCAAAAATTTTAGTCAGGTGTTGATCAATAAGTATGACATACTGGTTTTAAGGCTACCTCTATTATTTTGAGCCTTAGGGGCATGCATTACTGTATTGTATAAATTATGCAAAAAATCCGATTGTGGCCAGAATGCCATGGGGCATGGTTTACGTGTAGATATCCATTTAAAACGAATTTCAACACATTTCAGTTAATCCGTTTTTGGTTAATGAAACTATTCTATTTGTTATAGGATCTATCTCCCAGAAACCAAAGGCCGAGACTCATGTGAAATTTATCATTTATTAGAACACGGCTTTAAATCCAAACCGTTGTCTTCACCTGTCAGCAACGGCAGACCAGAACTCGGCAGCCTTACAGAAAAGACCCACTTGTAATTATTGTAATAATAATAAGCAATATTGCTACAAGATTTTTGCTAACTGTGCTGTATTTCGAAACAGTCAGTATTGGTTTCAATAAATAAATATTTATTTTTCCTTTAGTTTGACACATTTTTTTTGTACGAAATATAAACAGTATTAAGGGAATCTCATTGAAAAAGTATTTTATGGCTCTGGATTTTTTAAATCGAGAAACTCAAATATTGTATTAAAAACAAAATCGAAATAATGCTTTTTCATGCCGAATGTCTTAACCTAGAATTGGCAAGATTACATAATTTTTTTTGGTGTAAGGGTAAATTGTGTTGTATCTTTTCACCATACATATTATATTGAATATATTATGTAGGCACAAAACACTTAATCACTGTTATACCAATAAGTATGTGTTTTCAGTATATTTATATTTTTAATAAGCTTTACATGGTTGAGGGAAAAAGGGATAGTGAGAAGACTGACAATATTATTTTATACTTTATTTTAGATTTGAATAATTTGCTCATAAAATTATTTTTTCTCCCAAGCTGGTAATTTATTTAAAATTTACAAAAATAATAATTTTGCTTGGATAAATAATAACATTACACATTTTTATAATTTAATATGAATCTGTATTTATTATACTTTACACATTTGCTGTGCTGCCATCAGCAAATATGCCTTTATTTATCTCAGATTTATGCAGATTATTGTTTATGAATATTTGACATAAAAAATGGTTGTATTTTGTACAGGGTGGCTCAAATTCGAGCCTCATCATTGAGATTTCGTAAGAGATACGGGGTCGGTTAAATTATGGCAAAGTTGAGAAATTTTGATGCTTAACAAAATTTGTTTTAAAATTTCAGAAATTCCTAATACATTCGGAAAATTCAGAAAATTGTGATTCTGGTTTTTATTTTTTTTAATTTGATACAAGAAACATTATATCATGTCTTTTAACTAAAATTGGCATGTGGATTAAAACTCGGAATCATATTCAAAAATTATACTAATAATTTTGCCTGAGGATGAATATTTTCGGTCGAAATTTCATAACGTGTTATATGACGCATTTTAGAATGTCAAAACGAAACAAATTATGTAAAAAAAAATCCAGATGCGTATTAGAAAAAATTAGGTTGATGATGGCATTGGGATGCCAAAACGTCGAATTTCTAAAGTAATATCACCACAGTAAAGTCCACCCAAAAGTGCTTCAAGAAAGTTTTCTTGATTTTTCTTGATCTCTTAAAATAAAGTCAGGAAAAAATAAAAACCAAAATCGCAATTTTCGGAATTTTCCGGATATTTCCTCTTACGGTTTCTGAAATCCCAATGATGAGGCTCGAATTTCAGCCACCCTGTACTGCACGTAATTATTCTTCACATGCCCCGCAAAATGAGGTGGCGAGAAAGCAATTTGCTTATTAGACAAAATTAGGAAATGTTAGGGGTGTAAACTTTTTTGTATACAGCTTTAGCTTTGCCTGTGCCAGCTCTCGCCAGGTTATTTTGCGGGACCTGTACCTATCTAGTATAGTTTGAAGTTTATTCGCTTTAGGATTTTGTAAGTTTTATTCCATAATATATTACGTTGAAGAATTATTGTCTCTAATTTTTTTTCGTGAACACAAAATGGTGTGGGGCTATTAAAATGAATGACTGCAGGAGGCAAATTTTCGTAGGTTGTAATAAAAATAGAAACTGGATAGACCTATATATAAATCGGCGATATAACACCGGCACAGTATCTTTTAAACAGATGATTCTATTACAGTATCACCTTAGAAAGATCTATTGAAATATTTTAGCTGAAAATTAAATTTTGCTCCATATATAAAAATCAAATTTAGCACCGCCTAAAATCTTAGAATCGAATAGATGCAGTATAAGGCAGGGCCAAAAATGCTTTCGAGTTTCAAAAAAAAAGAGGAGAAAATATATTACAGACTGATAGTTACATCGAACTGGTCCGTTCATCATTCTATCTTTAAAAATAATAATAAAAACGGTCTTTTTGTGGCGTCCTGAATAGGGTCTCAGAAGTGATTCATTTAGGACACTAGAGCCTATACCTGGAAAAACCATAATTTGCTTTTGTATGAATTGGTCTGTAGAAAAATCCTAAAAGCAATTTAATGGTTAATGGGCCTCCAGAGAAAGTATTTGCCAGTATTTTGCAGCGGGTACAACTTTAAACAAGAAAATGTACCAACATTTTGTAAGGACAATCTCCGAAAGGCCGTAGCTGCAAAACAGTTAGACCGATAGCCATGTTCACATCATACAGCACTCTTTTTACAAATGTGCTGATTTTATTGCACTTCCTTCAAAAATAAAAAAAGGAATAAATAAAATTAATAAAACTGTGTAATTGCTTGCAAAAAGGTCATGATTTTAATCAATGTAAGTGAAGTATGTTGTAACAATTGCAGTGAAAGACCCAATTTGGTATATATATTCGACAATATAGAAAGGTGTAACACTCTCCCCTATACGTTACATACATGATTATTGTCTAAACTGTAAATAAATCTAAAAGCTGTATTATCTTTTTACATTTAAAAAAAATACATTTTCGTTTCTCCCGAACAACTAACAATAACAGAGATGATTACAAACAATTTAAATGGAGAAAAGGGTTTTATTTTATAAATGTGTCAAAGTTTTGTGTCGCTTCAAGTCTTGGAGGCTGTTTCATTAAAATATAACTCTTTTCTCTAACAGCCTTAATTTTTTTAAATTTTTTTCAGGTAGGTATTTGCACAAGTATTAGTGGTACTATTATACCAACATCGATTATTTAAAATTCATTTAATTTGATAATTATGTAGCATCTTTTCGAGAGAGATATGCCAATTAAATTCTGATTGTGCTATGCAAATCCGCAGTGGCAGGCCTCCAGAATGACTGAATTGTCAACTCGCGATATTTCCCGGAAATACGCAATTTTTGAGAGAATATTCTAGTGGAACATTCAGACTTTTTAGAGGCCCGCAAGATAGCGGGTTTTTGTCTAAAGTATGTACAGTGTCTTGTTGAACAAAGAAACCTACAAACTATTTTGAAGGTTCATTATTCGCTTTAACTGTTTTCGAACAAAAACCACGCTATATGAGGATTCAACACTTTCAGTTAGATTTTGGCTTGGTGGGATACTGTGTGACTCAGTATTGATTGTAAAAAATCAAAGGATCAGTGTGATGAGTAAAGTTCCGAAACAAAGAATAAAAGATATTTGGCATGTGTTCAATTAGTGTTCAAAACGCTTTACTTCCATGGTATGGAATTTGATGGGTTAGCAATAATCAGAAATTCACATTGGTGCATTTTTATCGAGCAGTTACTTTTATTTATGAAACTGGAACTTATAAAACAAAGAATACTGAATCGAAAAGAAAATACTGACTAGCATCAAATAAAAAATCGGCATGTCATCAATTTTATTAATTTGGCGGGATTTGTTTTTCTGTGCAAACACCTACGTTAAAAAAAACTACTTTCCTAGTTTGTCGTGTATGCATTCTAACAATCTTAATACGTCAACCATTGGGAGCCTTGACATCTTCTCTTTCAAACACTCTAGAGTTAAATAGTACAGTTCTTGTGCGAAATTTATTCTGTTTTCTCTCCAAGTGCCAATTTTTGTATCTAATAATGCGTCAATTGAATCCTCACAGTGATCTTCTACATATGTAACCTATAAAATACACATTTTTTGAGTTTACTTAATTATTGTGATAGTGTATCTAATAATTATGTAATTTAAGGAGAGTCTTGCTTTTTTTTTTGTTGTCTCATTTCTAATTTGGATTTGTATTTAATGGCATCTAGCCCCAAAAACCAAGTGACAAATTTAAATCAAATAGAGTAGACATAAAGGTAACAACTGAAGAACACGATACTGGCATAACCAGTGTTTTCTGATGTGGTAAAAATTTGGGAAAAAATGTTTGGTCGTTTTATATTTGAAGGGCCTTCTTTCAAAAATAATGAGAAATCAGTTAAAATACTGCTACTATGATAAATTTGAGTGGTTACTGCTACTAACCACTCAAATTTATGATGAAAGTGCTAGAAATTATGCCTAGTTACCAAGTCACCTCCTGGTCTATGATAATCAAGTGGTGGAAGGGATGTTAAAAGCTCCAAAAGAACCACGGCAAAACTAAATGTGTCAAGTTTAACAGAAATTTCTCCATTATGATACTCTGGTGGCATATATGCTGAAGTACCACAAGGGGTTGACTCCAACTCGGTGTTTTGACTTGGTAGTAGTTTTACGATGCCAAAATCGCCAAGCTGCAAACATTTAAAAACAAAAGAATTAAATAAAATAGCTAAGAATAAATTTTATTACCTTTGCATTGTTGTTGTCATCTAATAAAATATTGGCCGACTTAATATCTCGGTGAACAAGAGGTGTGGAAAAAGCTGTGTGTAAGTAAGCAATCGCTCTTGCAGTTCCTAGTGAGATTTGTATTCTTGATTTCCACAATATTTTTTGGGGATTATTCTAATAACAAATAAATTTGATCATTTCAAAAAATTATCTTATGTGCGAGCTTCCACAACTCAAAAATTGCGATTGTCAAAAATTAAAAGGTATTTTTTTTCTTTCTAGAAGCCGACTTTTTCATGGTTATTGAAACTAGAAATCTATTTTCTAGGATGCATCTCTCACCTGTAATACATCAAACAATGAGCCTCCAGATACATACTCATACACTAAACAGTATGTAGGACCATCACAAGAATAACCAAGTAATGAAACCAAGTTGTCATGTTTGTATTTGCATAAAAGCTCTACTTCGTTCCTGAATTGTTCTGTGATTTGCTCTATTTCGTTTGATAGTTTTTCATGATCTAGAAATATTTTCTTCACAGCAACTGGTTTATCCAACAGGTCTGTAGCCAGAAAAACAGATCCAAAAGCTCCAGCACCCAAAAACCTTCCATTTTCTTTGTCAGATGAGAACCTATTTGTAGCATCTTCCAGCTTGCTATAGTCAAAATGAGGAAGCTGAGTATTGAGAGAGATACTAGGCAAAACGGAACTTGAAGCGTCTGAACTAGAGCCTGTCAGTGATATATTTGAATGGTCATTTTCATTGCTCAGTTGCAACATCTCAAAGTTAGGTATTAAATCTGAATGTGATTTGGATATCAAGTTTGAATCTAATGTGGGTAATAATTCTGAATCTAATTTTGGTATCAATTCTGAATCTAATGTGGGTATTAATTCTGAGTCTAATTTTGGTATCAATTCTGAATCTAATGTCGGTATTAATTCTGAGTCTAATTTTGGTATCAATTCTGAATCTAAATTGGGTATAGAGTCTGAATACATTTTTGGTACTATATCTGAATCAAATTTGGGTATCAAATCAGAATTTGTATTCATTTTGTTTGAGTTCATTGCAGTTGAGCCAAGAATGATGTCACTATCTATGGTATAGCTTGAAGTATCTGATGCTTCTATTGATTCTTCTGTATTGGTGGTAGAACTAATATCAGCACTTTCTTGTTTTAACATTTGACTAATTGCTGGAATAAAATCTTCATTATTGGAATTGGAATTGGTTGTCATAAGGTGGGTAGAGGCTGGTTCAATTTGTGACTCACTTGACCCTAAAAATATGTTTATAATTTACCATCGAATTTCCCTAAAAAACATACTTCTTCTACTACTCATTATACTACTTAAATGATATTTTATTTAATATTATTGTACCTTGTAAGAGATTTGGTATATCAGGAACTAATACTGAAGCTAAACTGTCCACATTAGCAGTTTCTTCTTCTGAAGTGTGTGGTTTTTCTTTTGGAACTACTAAAGGAATTTGAACAGTTTCTGCAGTAGTTTTTACTTCGCTAACAAATATTGCAGGAATGACCTGAAAAAGAAATAAACATAAGATGCTCTACTATATCAACTATGGAAAAATTGAAAATAACAAGTACCATAAGATATAAAACTTGATAAAAATGGGTTCTAGTTAAAAAATTAATAAAGCCCGCTGATCACTGTAAATTTAATTATTTGTCGCAATTCCAAAACTGATTTTAATTAACAAATGTTTGTTTGTTGTATATAATTATAGGAGCAATTTTGTATGTGTACAATTATTAGGTACATGGTGTCTCATTCTGATTATGAATAAAAATAAATCTGTTTACTAGGTACTCACTGAGACAAGATTCTTAATTTCCGATTCCTTATTTCTTATTTGTTGTATGGCCACTTGGGGATAATTAATTTCATCCAAATGCCTCTCAACATCGATAGAAGCGGCAAGTTCTGATGAATTAATTTTTATAGTTGCAGCAGGACCACTGGCAGGTCTAGGAGGTGGATCTTCGCCCAAGAGCTTAGATGCGTAATCAGCAGCTCTGAAAAGCTGTGCTTTTGTGAGAAGATATTTTACATGGCCAATGGTGGCCCGAGGTCTTCCAGAAGTGCCCCATTCGTCAAATAAGATTTCAGTACAAGATCTATTGAGTCTGATTCCGCCCAATTCAACTATTCTGAAAATAATACATATATTTAAATTGGTATACCTGATACAAGTACTCATAGTTAATTTTTTTTTGTTTGAAAATCATTTATTATAAATAAGTAAGTATACAATTTTTGAAGTATCTGTAGCTCTATACTCTATACCTGAAACAGTGTGGAACACGGGTATCTATATTTATCAAAAATTTAGATTACAGTGATGTAGTGGAAGTTACTTTGCAACAGTTAACTGCTAAAAACTCAGCTAAACACCTTAACAATTTTTGAAATACATTCATATACTTAAGTCACTTGAATTTTTAGTCTCAGTTCGAGGTGGTTACCACTCCCGCACTACGTGTAAATTTTCTGATAAAATTGCGGGCAATCCCTCGCAGTCGTAAGAAAATCCCACATTCTCAAGGGGCAATCGCGGCAATCGCTGGAAATCCATTCCGCAATCCCCCAATCGCCTTCGCAGTTCCGTAATCGCGGCCACAGTAGGGGAAATCCCATATGGAAGGGCGGGTTTTTAATGATTGTGGTAGACGCGGAAATTACTTTAACAATCTCACAATCTTTCGACAATTGCGGCAATCACCTACATTCTTAGCTTTCAGTGCATCTGACGTCGAAGAACCCAAAACAAAGCTTACGTAAAATAGTATTTTCTACAAAATTGTTCATATAAATTTTTTTGTACGACCTTCGAAATATAGCGTGATAAAGCGGGAGCGCGCATTCAAAATAGGTGATACTGTATTATACAGGGTGTCCCCGTTCAACTGGTCCAAAATGCTAGGGTATATAGAGGAACCCTCGGAGGAACCATAGAGAAGTAATTTGAGATAGACACCGATAGTCGGAAGTACGTCGTTTCCAAAATACAGGGTGTTGAAATTTAAACAACCCCCTTTCATATCATCTGGAGGGCTAATGCTAGGCTGTTCAAATTTTCAGGGATGATTGATGTAGGAATGATATTTAAAAATTCATGTAATACACCCCCATTTTCTACCTGGAAACTCCAAAAAAAATGGATATATTTTTTTTTGGGATGGTCACAGGTAGAAAATGGGGGTTGCATTATACGAATTTTCAAATATCATTCTTACATCAATAATCCCTAGAAATTTGAACAGCCTACCATTAGCCCTTCAGCTGATATGAAAGGGGGTTGTTTAAATTTCAACACCCTGTATTTTGGAAACGACGCACTTCCGACCATCGGTGTCCTATCTCAAATTACTTCTCTATGGTTCCTCTATATACCCTAGCATTTTTGACCAGTTGAACGGGGATACCCTGTATAATAGTATCACCTACTTTGAATGCGCGCTCCCGCTTTATCACGCTATATTTCGAAAACGGTTGGTCGTACAAAAAAATGTATAGGAACAATTTTGTAGAAAATACTATTTTACGTAAGTTTTGTTTTGAGTTCTTCGACGTCAGATGAACTGGAAGCGATTTTCGTGACCTTTGACCTTCGATATCTCAAGACGGACAAAGGTAGGCATATTCGATTTTTTTTGTGCTTCATTAGAACATCAAAACGAAGGTCTCTGCAAAAATTCAGCTTGTTCGGCCTCATTCCGCAGATGGCCCTTTTTTGGTCTAATTTCCCTGGGGTACAATTCTATTGGCCAAGAGAAGACGATATTCAAAGAGTTAATAAGTTTATATTTTTTTCGGCCAATAGATTTGGTTGGAAATGCACCATTTGTTTAAGAACAATGTGACAAGTTGAGTATCGAAGGAGAATTTAGAAAATTGAAATAACTAACAAATAAAAAATAATAGTACATTGTGTATTTAGGTGGAAAAGTGACACATTCTCGGCCGACCATTTCATATGCCGGGCGAGGCCAGAAAACACCGAAGACCGAGACTCGGGCCGAGAATGTGCTTTTGCTCCAAAATACACATACCATTTTTTCTGCGATCGCTAAAATATCTCTCAAATGCTTGTCTTCTTGTTCCAATTATTCAGCAGTAGTTACGGCAATCACTTTCCCGGCCTAGTTTTCCCTATTTCCGTACTGTTATCCATCGATTTCTTAGCAACTATTGAAAGATAATTTAAAATACCAGAATATTGAGTTTTGTGGCCTGTCAACCGGTCGAAGATGTTGACATTTCTTGTCAATCGCAGAAAAGTATTATTTTGAAGATTTTGTAGTGTGTTTTCTTTTTAAATAGGTTGACAAAAATTTTACAATCTCCACGAAAATATAGAAAGTAAACCCTGACTTATGAACCATACCTTGATTTAATTATTTGAAAAGTCTACTACATTATTATCAAGACATTTCCTGGAAATTCTTCAAGAAATCATTTTGACAGTCTCACAATCATTTCACAGTCTCACAATCATTTTGGCAGACCCACAATCAGCAGGAAATCTATGACAATCCTTGAAAATCACTGCGATTTTCATGGCAATCCTCAACAGTCGCAAAAATAGCAGCGACTGCCAGGAAATCATAGGATTGTCACAATACGTGTACATTTTTTGAAGGAGTGGTTACCCCCTCGTCTCAGCTGGTAGACTATTATATGTTCTAAATGCTGAGTTGAGAGGATAGTTTAGACCTATGTGTATCCTGGCGCTTAAAATATATACATAAACCTCTTATCTTGTGCTATAACTGTGTATTTCACTATGTGTGATTCCAAAATTACATTTTCATAGATTTCCCAATATTTTATAGATTAATTCTGTTCAGATTTCTTGATTAAATTTGGAAAATTTTAGAGAATTTTATGCTATCTCTCATAACAAAGATCCTAACTGTAAGAATTTAAATGGGAACACACTGGTAGGTATAACGATTCTGTATTAACATAAAATATAATCAAATAAAACTTTCAATAATTTATCTTGTTTAATTAGAAATTTCTCTGTGTATGGTAGTCAAGATTGTAGTGCAGCAAGTTCCCAAAACAGGTATCAAATACCTCATAAATATGGGATGAGAAATGAGAAATAGACATTGTAAACGCGGTTTAATGGTTTAATAAGAAAGATATTTCTGGCATTCATAGATGTATAGTACTTATAATTGAAGTTATTTTTAAAATTATAAAGTATATAAGCATGTAATATTAATTTGGTTCTTACTTAAAGTGTTCAGAATTATATTTTGCTAAGTTATCTGCACTTATGTCACTGTTGTATCCATTTTTGCTTAATTGCTTGGGTATAATAGCCATAAGCCTCTTCCAAGAGTCATCATAATCTAGTATCGAAGAAAATTCTCTTACCACGCTTGGTGGCAATTTACGAATTTCAATGTCCGGATCCATTTTACGAGAGATTCTGAATTACAAATGAAAATAATAATCAGCAGAGAAAGAAAAGGAAGTCGATTATAAAATGTATAAATTTGTTTTTCTTTTGTAGTAGAAAAACAAAACAAATGATGAGGTTGAGGTTAGGTTTAGATTATAGCGTTTTCTGTTGGTAAAACTCGTGCTGTCCGAGTTCTGCACTCAACACTGAATCAGTTCACGGTTAGTGCAATTCCAAAAGAACATGAATTTGGCGCGTTTTGTCATTCTTTTCAAATTTATTATTTAACGATCCCTGATCCCTAACCTAACCTAAAGATATTTTCAATGGAATAAAAATTAAAAACCTTTGTGTGTATGAAAAAGTTGAAAACGGAAGTTTTTTCTGTGTAAAGTACAACTAGTTTTCTGACTGTTTCCAACCAATGAAATTCGCTCTGACTGGTTTGTGATTGCTGTGCGAACAAGCCTAATTACAAACCGAACAAAGTTAGTAGTGGGGGTAAAGGAGCGTTCCGTTATAAGCTGTATTCCTTTCTACAGTTTAGAACACTGGAGCAACTCGCTCCGGTGTTAGTTGACCCCGATTTGAGAGGAACAGATGCGCTGGCTTTCGTGCATTTAAATGGTTTGATTCGGGCTTGAGCACTCAGATGCAGTAAACACTTTTTGAAAGGAATAAGCGCGTAACGCCCCGGAGCTCCTCCTAGGTGTGAAAGTAGTTAAATGAGACAAAGAAGTACAACTATAAGTGGAACAATTTTTAGCGCTTTCGGTTCCACTACTCCCAGAGCGCTCCCTGTCTGGTCGGTGACGTCACATATCTCTGCGGACGTGCTCCGAGGGCGATTATAGGTCTGTTTCTGCAGAAATCACAAACTAGGCAGAGTGAATTTCGTTGGTTGAAACTAGTTTTCTGACTGTTCTCAACCAATGAAATTTGCTCTGACTAGTTTGTGATTTCTGCAGAACCAGACCTAATATTAGGTCTAAAGTCTGTTTCTGCAGAAATCACTAACCAGTCAGAGCGAATTTATTTCATTGATTGAAAACAGTCAGAAAACTAGTTTCAACCACTGAAATTCACTCTGACTGGTTTGTGATTTCTTCAGAAACAGACCTATTAGTCCAGGAGCTGGCGTCGAAAATATGCAAGAGTTTTCGCAAGGCTCATATTTTCAGAATGAGTAGTATTTTAGTGCTACAAAGCTAGGCTACAGTCAGCAGTTCCAGTTCCGGGACACCTGGCGCTGAGATGCGCGCAAAGGTGTATTTTTAATCAACACCTCGCAACAGTTTTCGCAAAGCTGAAAATTTGCAAAGAGCATGCGAATATAATGTAGAACCATAATTTAACAGTCAGACAAAGAAATACGGGGACACGTAGAGTCAGCGCGACTTTCAAGTGGTCAAAAAAATGACGTCACCAAAAGTGTTTTCGCATGGCTGAAATTTGGCAAGGTAATAGTAAAAACAATGTATTTATTGAAAAAAAAAGTCAGACACTTCTATGTCGGGACCCCGCCAGTCAGCAGTCGATTAGAGTGATATAGGTGGTAGCGCGCGTCAATAGGCATATATCCATGTCGAATAATAATTTCACCAAAAGTGTTTTCGCATAGCTGAAATTTGGCAAGGTAATAGTAAAAACAATATATTTATTGAAAAAAACAGTCAGACACTTCTATGTTGGGACTCCCTCAGTCAGCAGTCGATTAAAGTGATATAGGTGGTAGCGCTCGTCTATATATATCCATTTCGATGAATAATTTTATTTCTATAATTTAAATTATTTGGAATCGGAAACGGTAAAATACATTTTTTTTTCTCTTAATGAGTAAGTGTAAACCTGTAAGTTGCAAGCGTAAGCGCGTATACTTGAATAAGGCGTATATGCATTCGAATTCGGAAACTTCATTATGGTACTGTTAGGTCGAGATTAGGGGATGGGAAGCGGCAGATGTGATTAGAATTTTTTTTTTGTATTTTATAAAATCGGCGACGATTATAAGTATTTAATGAAACTTACTATAGGTATACTATCACAGTACTGCTGATTAAATGGTCAAGTAATATTTATACGAATCGGGCTTTTTTCTAACCGCAAACTTTTTAACTGCATGTACAATTTTATTTTACCGTTTCCGATTCCAAATAATTTAAATTATAAAAATAAAATTATTCATCGAAATGGATATTATATATAGAGTAAAATTCTATTGACGCGCGCTACCACCTATATCATTTTAATCGACTGCTGACTGAGGGAGTCCCGACATAGAAGTGTCTGACTGTTTTTTTCAATAAATATATTGTTTTTACTATTACCTTGCCAAATTTCAGCTAGGCGAAAACACTTTTGGTGAAATTATTATTCGACATGGATATATGCCTATTGACGCGCGCTACCACCTATATCACTCTAATCGACTGCTGACTGGCGGGGTCCCGACATAGAAGTGTCTGACTGTTTTTTTCAATAAATATATTGTTTTTACTATTACCTTGCCAAATTTCAGCTAGGCGAAAACACTTTTGGTGAAATTATTATTCGACATGGATATATGCCTATTGACGCGCGCTACCACCTATATCACTCTAATCGACTGCTGACTGGCGGGGTCCCGACATAGAAGTGTCTGACTGTTTTTTTCAATAAATATATTGTTTTTACTATTACCTTGCCAAATTTCAGCTAGGCGAAAACACTTTTGGTGAAATTATTATTCGACATGGATATATGCCTATTGACGCGCGCTACCACCTATATCACTCTAATCGACTGCTGACTGGCGGGGTCCCGACATAGAAGTGTCTGACTGTTTTTTTCAATAAATATATTGTTTTTACTATTACCTTGCCAAATTTCAGCCATGCGAAAACACTTTCGGTGACGTCATTTTTTTGACCACTTCAAAGTCGCGCTGACTCTACGTGTCCCCGTATTTATTTGTCTGACTGTTAAATTATGGTTCTACATTATATTCGCATGCTCTCTGCAAATTTTCAGCTTTGCGAAAACTGTTGCGAGGTGTTGATTAAAAATACACCTTTGCGCGCATCTCAGCGCCAGGTGTCCCGGAACTGGAACTGCTGACTGTAGCCTAGCTTTGTAGTACTAAAATTCTACTCATTCTGAAAATATGAGCCTTGCGAAAACTCTTGCATATTTTCGACGCCAGCTCCCCGACTATATTATAATCCAAACGAGGGCACCCAATTTGAAATCAATAGCCGATTGTACTTTTGCATAGTTCTTGCTCAAAATTTCACAGCCTGTTGACCTCAGAACACATTTATTTATACAGTGTGTCCACTTAAGTTCGCAGCATATGGGAAACTTTGTTATTATCAATTTTACGGAAAAAAGTTATATGTACAGTGTCATTACTTAAGTGTGCAACATATGGGATTTCTTTTTAGTAATAGCACAATCAAAATACAAACAAGGCCAAAAGTTGGTGCATGTCTGATAATCATATTAGGTGCACTTAGAATGGTTGCAAGTCAAACAGCATACAGGGTGGCTCAAAAAATATCAAAATTCTACTAATATTTACTTAAATGAAATAAAACTTTTGCACTTTAAGGAGAGTTTTTTTAATATGGCTATTATCATTAGTGATGTTTTAACTTGTTAAAAAAAAATTTGCGACATTTTAAAGTTGTGTTGAATATCATTGCAACAAACATGAATTTTGTGATTCCATTAAAAATTAAAAATCTAAGTTAATTTTACAAATATGCTTGAATTTGAAAAAAGTTATGCAAAATTGATTTGATTTTAATTAATTTTTGAAAGTCTTAAGGGCGGAAATAAAAAATAAAAAAAATATAGAAATTATAGATTTTTTGGCAAAAGAAAATAAAAAAAATCTTAGGAGGCCATGTTTTGGTATTTAGGCATAACTTTTAATTCCAAACAACTTTTCTCTATAACATTTTGCTGAATTTTCTAAAATAAGGGTACTTTACAGTACCAGCTTTGATATTGTTTGAGCTACCCTGTATGCTGTTGGACTTGCAACCATTCTAAGTGCACCTAATATGATTATCAGACATGCACCAACTTTTGGCCTTGTTTGTATTTGGGTTGTGCTATTACTAAAAAAAATCCCCATATGTTGCACACTTAAAAAATCACTGTATATATATTATAAAAAAGTTTCTGCTTCTTGAAAAAATAATATTAAACTATTAAAACTTGAAATAGAATGAACAGGGTGGTCAAAAAATAGAAAAATGTACAGGGTGTTTTCTAAGTACGGTTCGTAACTTCAGGATCTGATTCCTTACAATATTCAAGAAAAAAAGTTCCCATAAACATGTGTCCGGAAATGCGTAGTTTCTGAGATACAGGAGCTGCTTTCTTTTCAGGGGCTTGGGCGCCCCAGGGCGCCCTGGATCTCGATTTTGAAGTGTGTCAACCGTTCTTTTTAATCGGGGCGTCAAGCCCCGGGGTCGTCTATCCCCACCACTAGCCCCTCAGCGAGGCGTCGAAGCACCACAGCTCCAGTGTTCGAACTGTCACTAGTGTCAGATAATTATAGGTCTGTTTCTGCAGAAATTAAAAACCAGTCAGAGTGAATTTCATTGGTTGAAACTAGTTTGCTGACTTTCTGACTGTTTTCAACCAATGAAATTCGCTCTGACTGGTTTGTGATTTCTGCAGAAACAGACCTTATATGTCCCTTAATTACCGTTCTTTTCAGAGCGTGCTCTGAAGCACCCCAGGGCGTCGAAGCCCGGGGTTTCAAAGCTCTGAAAAGAAAGCACCTGTGGTGTCAAAGTATTAGAAAAAATCGTTTTTTCAACTCTTCTTTCAACTCTTCTTTTCCAATTTTTCTTTCAAATTTGGCAAATTTATTTATGAAAATGAAAGGTATTTTTTGACTGTAATATGACTTGCTTAATCTGAAAAAAATATAGAAAGTTTTAAAAAATAGTGACGTGCCATTTTTTGCTACTTTTACCAAAAAACCCTGTATATTTTTCTATTTTCTGATCCCCCTGTACATGCTATTTCAAGTTTCAATAGTTCAATGTTATTTTTTCAAGAAGCAGAATTAAACTTTTATAAAGAATAACTTTTTTTCGTAAAATTGATAATAAAAAAGTTTCCCACATGCTGCGAGC